CACATGCATTTTTGATATATTTTTCATATATACATATATATAATATATATATAAAATATATAAATATATGAAAAATTGATGTGGGTATTCAAATGAAAGGTCTTGATGAGTGTAACATCATAATGAGCTTATATCTTTAAAAATGTCAATAGTTCACGAGATACCAGGTCATTTATTATTTTAACAATATATATAATCAAAAAATAATATATATATAAATTATTTTGTAAGATTTAAATATTAAACAATGCTAATTATTAAATTTCATTAATTATTCCTTTCCAAAAATAAATTATAACAAAGTTTGCTATCACTTTTTTAATTTTTTTTTTAACAAACAAATTTGTTTAAAAAAAATTATCTTAAAAATTGCATTATTAAAATTTTTAAAATTTCCACTTGTCAAATTTTTTTTTTATAATTTATTTGTTACAAAAAATTTTTAAATATTATTAAATATCTACTAAATAAAAAATTAATATTAAAATTTAAAGTAATAAAAAAAATACTAACTTTTAATAAAAAATTATAAATATTCCAACGTATTTAGACTGTCAATTATTTCAGCGCCCACTGCTGCCACTACCGGAGTCAGTACAAAGTCAGTAACCTAAAAAAAAATAATCCTCTAATAACAATCACAAAAATAAAACTCTTAAAAAAAATAATTTCTTCTCAAAAATTAAATAAAAAAAAGAAGAAATATTTTTTTATTAATTATTAATTAATAAATTAAAAAAAAAAAATTATAATAAATTACGTATATATAAAAATGACTTGCGCAGTAAAAAATTTCACAGCTGATCAGTAGCTGTTCGGACAGTCGTCGTAATTACCTCAGGATAAAATCGCGTTTAATTATTATTATAAATTATAAATATAAAACTACAAGTGTTTATTATAAGTGATGTTTGTGTCCATAAAAATAATAATAAAAAATTAATTAACTATTAATTAAAAGTTTTGGAAATTAATATAATAGTATAATAAAATTGTGTTGTAAAATAATTATTTTTCAAGTGTTAAATCAAGTGCGACATCTCGATGGTCCGGTAAGATTATTTATTTATAAAAAATATATTTCTTCTTTAGTAATTTTTAACTAAAAAATAAAATTAATTAATTAATTAATTATTGTTATTATTATTTATAAAAAAATTTCAGGTTATTTTACTTACTTTGAATTTGACCTAAAAAATTTTTTAAGAAAGAAGAAATATTTAAATTTTAAAAATAAAACAGTTTCTTCTCACCAAGTTTATAATTGAAGTAATTTGTGTGTTATATTTATTTTTATACTTAACTTTTATTGTCTAGGCGAACGTCAATTCATTCATTGTTTTCTCCTGAATTACCGATTGGTTTTACAACTCGCTGATCACGTGCGCCATCGTAACTAATTCAAAGAACTACAAATTTAATATTTATATTTTTAAACTTTATAATTAACTATTTTTATCATTTGTTGTTGATTTTTGACGTTAGTTAAATAGAGAAAAAAAAAAAGAAGAAGAAGAAGAAATAGTGTGAGAAGAAAACTGAAAAGTTTTTTTTTTTTAAAGAAAAATAAGTCAATATTATTTTCAGGTTAAAGTTTATTTTTGGGAGATCTTACAAAAAAGCTTTTGCTTAAGCTCTTTTAAAAACGTCACACGTCAATTATTATTCTTGGGTTTCACTTCATTCTATTTTTTTTTTTTTTTTATTTTTGTCATCATTGGATAAATATTGAGAAATTTTTTTTGGATTTTTATTAAAGAAGAAATGAAAAGAAAATTTTTTTGATCTTTTTTTATTGAAGAAGAAATATATAATATATAAAAGGAAAAATGTTTTTGATAAAAAAGTTTTATTGAAGAAGAAATATTATTGATAAAAAATTAATTAAAGAAGAAATTTTATTTGATGTAATATTAATCAAATTTTTTTTATAAAAAGTTTTGTTGAAGAAGAAATAAAAATTGTAAAGAAGAAATTTTTTTTAGATTAAAAAATAATAAATTTTATGAATTTTTTGATAAAAAATTTTATAAAGTTAATTAAATAGTAAAGAAGACATTTAATAAAAACATTTAAGAGAAGAAATAAGATATTGATAAAGGAAGAAATATTGTTGATGAAAAATTAATTAAAGAAGAAATAAATAAAATATTTACAAAAGAAGATATCAAAATTAAATAAAGGAATGATAAAAATGATCGAGAAGAAATTAAATTATTATAAGAAATTTCTTAGAAACATAAAAATGACCAAAGAAGAAATTTTTTAATAAAAAATTTCATTAAAGAAGAAATATTATTGATAAAAAATTAATTAAAGAAGAAATATAAAAGTATCGAAAAAGAAGATATTAAAATTAAATGGAGAAATAGTAAAAATAAAAAGCTTGTTAAAGAAGAAATTTAATTATGAGAAGATATAAAAAGTATAAAAAAAGATGATATCAGAATTAAATGAAGAAATAATAAAAACTAGCATCCTTGCGATCACTATGTGACTGCCGTGATTTATGAACCATAAATAAATAAAATTTTGCTTTATTAAATAACGACTTTGGTTAAATTGCAGTGTACTTTCTTAACTAATAACATTTTTAAAGATATAAGCTCATTCTGACGTTACACTCATCAAGAGCTTTCATTTGAATACCCACATGCATTTAATATATATTTTTCATATATACATATATATAATATATATATAAATATATGAAAAATTGATGTGGGTACTCAAATGAAAGGTCTTGATGAGTATAACATCAGGATGAGCTTATATCTTTAAAAATGTCAATAGTTCACGAGATACAAGGTCATTTTTTTAATTATGTATCTAGAGATAGAGCATTTTCGGATGCAGCCCAAATACTTATCATAATAAATTGACTATTGATGAAAATGATTTGAAACCTTGAAAGGTAAATTTTGAAAAAATTTCTTTAAATAATAAAAATGATCTAAGAAGAAAATTTTTGATAGAAAATTTTATATTAAAGAAGAAATATCAATAAATGATTAAAGATTAAATATTATTAATCAAACAACTTTGTTCAAAAAAAAATTATTAAAGAAGAAATAAAATTTTAAAGAAAAAAATGATCAAAAAATGATTAAAGAAAATGAAAAATATGAAGAAAAAAACACTAAAATTAAATGATTAAATAAAAAAAACCATAAAAAATAAATGAAATAGAATGAAGAAATAATAATTTAAACTAATTAAAGGAAAGCAAGAAGATAAATCACGACAATAAATTCCGTGTCGACATATAACTCAAATTTTCTTCATCTAGAATTCCTAAACGTTAAAACGTAAAAATAAAAGTAAAATAGTGGTATGCAAGTATCCATTTACTTTCTTCTTGTAATTCGTTTTGATCTTGTTCTTCTCCACCTAAACTTTATTTATTTTATATTTTTTTTTAAACCGTCGCCAACATTCAAAAGACTTAAGCCAGACTTGCAGTCTCAGTATTTTCATGACACAAATATCTCTTAACCCGACAGACTGGAATTTGCTTTTTTTTTTTTTATGGACATGCAAATGTGTCTAACAAATTAAATTAAAATAAATACCGGCAATTTATCAATTAAGCCGACTTGCACAAAAATAAAAATGATTATTAATAATTTATCCTCTAGATTTACAAATTCTGGCAGCAATAAATTGGCTTAGAATTTAACTCCGTAACAAATTGAATTAACTATTTGCTGCGTAATAATATAAATAAATCCGCATAGTTGTCGCTGGATAGCTCTTCGGCGATTGCTCTAAGTCGGCAGGTGGATCCTAAATTTTGCTAAAACGCATATCTCATCCAAAACACTCAACAGGAAGTTATTCTGTTGGATTTAACCAGCAATACCAATTTTAATGGTGTTTTGTAAATAATATCACCCACCCACACAAGCCAAGAGGCAAAATAAAATAGTCTAATGGGAGGACACGTCTCAAGATAAATGATCTGGTTATGAACCATTATCCTCCTCTATGAAACTCTACGACCAGTACTTGTTCGTAATTTGTCGTCCAGTACGCTAAAATTTAAACGTTTAATTTCACTGTTTCCATCTCAGTTGACAATTATTGTCATTACGTTATTTTCCTGGCAACTTGTGAAATATACTGGTATTTATTGTATGACGCAATTAACTTAATTGTGTGACACTGACAGGTGTGTTTGATACTTGGGACACTTTCAATATGCTTAAGAAGTTTTACTTCATTGTCAAGCTGAAGTAAATTTAGTCTATAAAATAATCATACCTTTAATATTCTGCTTTACTTACCATAACAAATTTTTCTTTATAAATATCTCTTAAAAAATACGATCAATTAATTTAATTTTTCTTCTCAATAATTCTAAGAGCCATTTTGCTGGTTTTTGAAAAAAAATTACATTTTTTCCGCGATTAATTTATTTATAATCGCGAAAATAGCTCTAAATACGGTGAGCTGTTAACGGCGGCCATATTGAATACCTTATAACTCAGTTTTATAATTTTAGTAGCTAAGAAACTCGCTAGATGGCGCTACGTGTCAAAACTAGATGAACATTCTTTTGTTAGTTAAAAATTATCAGACAAAAATTGTGTCAATTTTTATCAAAATAATTGAATCAATTTTAATTCTAAAAAATATTTATTATACCTTCAATATTCTTTGTCAGTTACCATAACAAATTTTTCTTTATGAATATCTCTTAAAAAATACAACCAATCAATTCAATTTTTTTTTTTCAATAATTTTAAGAGTGTTTTGCTGGATTTTATAAAAAAATTACATTTTTTCCGCGATTAGTTTTTTTATAATCGCAAAAATAGCTCTAAATATGGTGAGCCGTTAACGGCGGCCATATTGAATATCTTAATACTCTGCTTTTTAAATTTAGTAGCTAAAATTTTCGCTAGATGGCGCTGCGTGTCAAAGCTATTTAAAAATTTCCCTATTTTTCAGTGAAAAATTAATTGATAAAAAAATAAAAATAAATAAAATTAATATATAAAAATAAATAAAATAAAAATGAATAAAATTAATTATAATAATAAATGAATGACAAATAATAATAATAATAATAAAAAAAAAAAATAGTACCTTAAAAATAAATAAAAAAATAAATACAGGTAGGCTATACCAGGATGGGGTCCTACGATGGGGGACTGCCACTGCTCTAACATCGCCATCATGCAGCTGTTCCATGAGTTGAAGCAGCAGTTTCCTGGCCTACCGGATCACGTTGTTTCCCAGTGCATTGCCCAGGTAGATCGGCGGCCTCTAACCTCCAAATCCTGCTACTAAATAAAATAATAAAACTTAATTAATTAATTAATAATGAAACTGTGAATTATCATCTAATCCAGGATTAACAGCACGAGGATTGATAAATTAATTTTTAAAAAATTATTCTTAGCAGCTGCTGACTTTTAACTTGATGTTGCAGAACAGCCACGACAGGGAGACATGCACGGAGAGTTTGCGCTTGACTCAAGAACTGAGACCCTCTCCTGGAGCGTTTCCCCCTCCAGCTCCGGATTTGAACCTCCAGCGAGGTATGAGTCTGCCCGAAGACCCCCAAAAGACTCTCCAAAGTCTCCACCAGAAGCCGAAGCAGAAGGCACACCGACCAGTTTCTCTGGACATCGGACCCGCGAGGTCGCCCTTGCACGCGGCTCGGCGAGTACTTCCGCCATTACCGCCGATTTCTTCCAGCCAGACTCCTGGAAGACCAGCGCCATCTTCTGCTCCCGCAGCTTATTCCACCCGCGGCTTCTTCGATGATTCCTCAGCCAGTCCAGATAATTTTCGGAATGTGAGGAATTTAAACTCGGGGTTCGAACTTAATGTCAATGTTGCCTGCAGTCCCGCAAGTAATCGGGGTAAGAAATGACCTTGTATCTTGTGAAATATTGACATTTTTTAAGATATAAGCTCATCCTGATATTATACTCATCGAGACCTTTTATTTGAGTACCCACATCAATTTTTCATATATTTCATATATTTATATATATATATATATATATATATATATATATAAAAAATATATGAAAAATTTATGTGGGTACTCAAATGAAAGGTCTCGATGAGTGTAATGTCAAAATGAGCTTATATCTTAAGAAATGTCAATAATTAAGAAATTACTTTGTATCTTGTGAAATATAAACATTTTTAAAGATATAAGCTCATCCTGAAGTTACCCATATCAAGACCTTTCATTTGAGTACCTACATCAATTTTTCATATATTTATTATATTTATGTAAATTATATATATGTATATATGAAAAATATATAAAAAATTGATGTGGGTATTCAAATGAAAGGTCTTGATGAGTGCAACATCGGGATGAGCTTATATCCTTAAAAATTTCAATATTTAAGAAAGTACAATGCAATTTAATAAAATTCATGATACTTAAAAAAACAAAATAAAAAATATATTAAATTTTCTAGATTTTCGGACAGTCCAGAGTCCTAAAAAGCGAAACGAACCTGACCCAAACGAAGTCCTGAGTGACCATACAAGGAGCTACACCTCAGTCAGCCTAACCCTGAGACCTCCTTCCTCGGAGCCTCAAGCGCCGATCGACATCAGGTCCCAAGGATCCAGTCTCACCTACTCAACGTCCTCCCTAGATCCTAGAGGGTTCCAAAGCCGCTTGCAGATCAGTATTGGTCCTGGGAATGTAGGCAGCGTCGCCGCTGCGAGGATAAGGCCACCTATGGGTACCAGGCCCAATAACCTCATTCCTGTGGCTTCTGGCTCTCATAAACCTCCAGGTAACGTAAAATTTTTATCGGCTGAGCTTATAAATGTTTCATCTCAAGATTGACATTTTTAAGGATATAAGCTCACTCTGACATTACACTCATTGAGACCTTTCATTTGAGTACCCACATCAATATTTTATATATTTATATATATTATATATATGTATATATGAAAAATATATCAAAAATGCATGTGGGTACTCAAATGAAAGCTCTTGATGAGTGTAACATCATCGATGAGCTTATATCTCTAAAAATGTCAATAGTTAAGAAAATACAGTGCAATTTAACAAAAGTTATTATTTAATATAGCAAAATTTTATTTATTTATAGTTGACAACTCACAGCAGTCACATAGTGACTGCAATGTTGATAGTATTAATTATTTCTGTAATTTAAAGGATTACCAGCAGGTCCTCCAAGTCAGCTACCACGTCCCACGACGACAATGAGCGCACCTACGACACCTTCAGCTCCAGCTGTTGGGATTGTTAGCAATCCCAGTAGTTTACCTGCGACTCCAAGCGGTCCTGTTTCTTCATTCCCTTCTAGTCCTTATAAAGATGCTATTAGTGTTGATCTCAGTCGTCTTTCTTTACATCAAGGTAATTTATTAAATGTATTTAATTAATTAAAAAAATTATTTTAATCATTAAAAGCTTTCAAAAAATTTAATACATACTTAAAAATTTTTTTTTTTTTAATTTAAAAAAATTAATTAAGAAAATTAATTAAAAAAAATTTAATAAAATTTCTAATCTAAAATTAAAAATAATTAATTGCAAAAATTAGTTTTTTAATTCATAAATATTTGTATTTAATTATTTTTAAGGTATTACATTAATTAAATGAATTAATTGTAATTAATTTTGTCTAAATTGAGTGAAAAAAGCTTTATTGGTACTCGTGTTTTAGAACACACTCTGTGCTCGTTCCGCTAACACACTCGTAGTCGCAATCCCCCTCCACAATTAAATAATTTAATAAACATTCAACAGATGGCGTCGAATGTTTATTTTTAAAATGATTTTTTAAACAAAAAAAAATTTTTTTTTAACGCTTCAACAAAAATTTTGATAAATTTTATTGTTAATATTTAATAAATTAATTTTGAATAATATAAATGATCTAATTATCTATATTAGTGATACTTTTAGGCTTTTATAATCCCACCTACGCATTTACGTCGGAGATATTTACAAATTCCTGACCCACGCGGGTCTATAGATAGGTTCTACCTCTTTGATGCTCTTTGATCACCTGATCTGGCATCACCGTTTTGTTTTATTAGTACAACGTGTGTTTGTAAAAAAAATTTCTACAAAAAAAATTATAAATGTAATTTTTGAGAAATTTTTTTACCTCTAATTTAATTAAATAAAAAAAAAAAAAATTAAAAATGGCAGCTAATTTTAATCTTAATTCTAATCATAGTTTTAGTTTTATGTACCTATTTAGTAAATATAATAATTTATTGATTGTATATTTTTTTTCAGTGTCAGAAAATCAGAAGCAGCTAATTACTGAGCAGCTGGTAAGGAAGGAGAGACTTTCCAGAGAGCTTAAAATAGAAAAAGGACGACTTGAGGCACTCAAGAGAGAAATCCATGCTATTCAAGGACCTGTTTATCCTATTGTTTCTTTGGAGGTAAAAATTAATTACATAAATTAGTCAAATTAGTCGACAAAATTGTTTTTTTAATTAATTGTTTAGATAAAAAAATTTTTTTTTTTTTAGCAACGCGCTTCAGATTTAAGAAGCGAAATTTATCAACTGGAGCTTGAGTGTGGACTTTTGACAAATGAAGTCGACAAAAGTATAAATCCAAGTGGTGAATATTTAAATTTAATTATAAAAAATAGTGCCAAAATTTTTTCTGCAAATTAAAAAAAATAATTTAAATTTTTGATATCATAATTTTTAATAATTTAATAATAATAATAATAATAATTTAAACTTAACATTTTTCAGTACCTCTGGGAGAGACCAACGAAGAATTCTATAACGGAATTTACCGCGGCCAGTCAATAAACCTCCCCGCCTTCACATCATCACCTCCACCTCTGCCGAGCGTCCCGCTGACTTGGGACCCGAGCCAAAATATTCACGAGGACGAGGACAAAGACGGGCCCTCGTGGATCTGCGAGAAATGTACCTTCAACAACCACCCGCTGATTGACATCTGCGAGGTTTGTCTGATGCCTCGCTTCAAAGAACTTGAAGACACAGGTACGAAAAACCGTCCCCAGGTGTTGAGCCGCCCGCAGATTTTGATGCCTAATTCTATTTCTAAGCAGTCTACGTCCAGGGTTTAGATTTTACCCGTGCCTTATTAATAATTAATTATTAATATTTAATTTTTTAATAATAATGTCTTACTTTATAGTTTTATTTAAGGAGTTATACCTAAATGCAAAAATTAATTAATTAATTAAAAAATATTTATAGTGAAAATTTTTATTATGACAAAATAACTTTTCAAAAAAAATTTTGGATTTAAAAAAAAATTTCTAAAAAGTGGTCTAAAATATTTAAATAATTTTTGGAAATTTTAGTCTTTTAATTGACCTACCTAGGGAGAGTATCTAAGAAGATTGTGTAAAAATTTGAAACCAATCAGTTAAGCTTTTTTTTGAAAAAAAAATTTCATTTAAAAAAAAAAAATGACCAATGTTGGTGTAAAAAATTTATTTGTTTAAAATTTTAAATAATTATATTTATTAGGGCTGTACAATTTGGCCGGTTAGGCCGGCTAAAAAAGTTAGTTAAATTAATTAGCCAGTTAGCTGGCCAACTTGGTTAATTTAACCGATTAGCCGAATTAGCTTAGCTAATTATCCAACAGCTTAACCGGTTAACCTAGCTAATTTTTTACCGGAATAGTTAATTTTTTCACCTTTGTTATCATGTATGTTGATGCGCCAAAAATATTTACAATCTTTTCTGTTGACCAACTTGATGGTAGTATAGATAATATTTGCACTTTTTTTATTAGTGAGAATAACAAAATTAAATAATTATTTAATTTAACATCATTCGAAGTTTAAAAAAAAAAAAAAATTTTTTTCCCAAATTCAAAAATTTATATCTCCGAAAAAAAAAGAGAACACCCTCTTGAAAATTTCAGGATATTTTAAGATTAGTAAGAGGTATTCTGTAAAAAAAATGAGCCAGAAATTTCATAGCGAGCTTTGATTTTCACGATTTTTTAAATTTCAAAATTTTCCCACTTTTTGATTTTCCAAAAATTGTACCCGAAAAAAAAAATTTTTCATAGTCCTAAGTATCCCCTTTAAAATGAACTTTGGTCCATGTCTGTAACTAAAATAGTTTCCGAGATATTACAAAAATAAATTTGAAAAACCTGAAAATGGTGAAATTTTTAATTTTATATAACTTTTCGATAAAAATTTTTAAAATATTCTCCTTTGGCACAACTTTATTTTATGATAAAAGCAAACTTGTAACCAAAATTCATCCAAATCGGAAGGGGTCGATTTGACATGGAATGTCCCACTTAATAAATTATTTTATTACTGTTTTCTATTTAAAAAATTAATTAATTCATAGGTCATTAAATTACTTTACTCTCGCGTTTTCTGTTGTTCTTCATGATTTTTTTTCCCAAAAAACGAGGTTAACATTAATTTCAATACTTATACGCACCTCAGTATACAACAAAAAGCATTTAGAAAATTAGCTATTTAACCGGTTTAGTAGTTGGCTAATTAGCTAAGCTAATCCTGCTAATCGGTTAAATTAGCTAACTGGCTAATTAACTTAGCTAACTTTTTTAACCGGCCAAATTGTACAGCTCTAATATTTATTAACTGAAGCAATGAATTTTTTTATTAAAAAAATCTTTCTATTTTTGAAAAAAATAAATTTTTTTCAAAATTGTAATTAGGTATAACTTCTCATTTTATCTTTAACCGCCCGAGAGGCTTACAATAACTGCACGTACGTAATTATTATATTTGTATTTATTTTACACGTCCATTGTAAATATTTAAGAGTGATATATTTTTTTTTCTTTTGTTTAATTAATGTAAATATAAATTACTCTGCTCTAAATGTTAATTTTTACTCAAATTTTAATAATGTATTTTTAAGTTTTATTGTAAAAAGTATTGTTTTATTTTTTGTGAAGCTAATAAATTAATGATTTTTTTTTAATTTAGCTGTAAATACTTTTTTTTTTTTTTATTTTTATCAATGTAAATATTTTTTTATAAATTTATTTTAACAGAAACTCAAGATATTCACATAAGAGTCACGCATCATCATAATTTTTCTCCTAGAAGTAAGTTTTATTTCTTCTTTCTTGAAAAAAATTAAATAAAAAATTTATTTATTTTATTATCAAGAATAATTTTTAAAAATTAATATCAAAATTTATTGATAGTAAATTTTGATTTATAAATTTATTTCAGGAACTGTTCACAGCTGGGTCGTATAAAAATTTATTTTCTAAAAAAAAATAACTAACTGTAAATATTTCATACATAAAATTATAGTTTAAACCATTGATTTATAATTAATTATATTTCTTTTTTTAATTTATTCTAAATTTTTGTTTTATTATTTTACTGTAAAAATATATCAAATAAATTAGTTTTATTTAAAATAAACTCAGTATTTTATTTCATTCCTTTAATTTAATTTTATTTTTTAAATCAAAAAACTTATTAATATTTTCTTTTTTAAATTAAAAATAATTTTTTACAATAATTTTACTTCTATAATAATAATAATAATAGTAATTAATACCAAAAAATAATTCATAATATTACAATCAAAATTTTTTACCTTCAAAAATTTAAAAAAAAATATTATTTTTTTAATTTATATATGACTCGGAAAGAACAAGATTATACTGGATATAATCCCAGATTATACTGAGTGAAATTTTTTTTTCAGATAGTAGCTAGTATAATCCAGATTACAATGAGTATAATCCAGATATTATCCAGTATAATCTGGATTATACTAGCTACCATCTGAAATTTTTTTCGCCTCAGATGTCACTGAGTATAATCTGAGATGGTATCCAGTGTCGTCTTGTTCTTTCCGTGTAATTGGTGATTTTAGTATTTCAACATTCAAATAACAAAATTAATATAATTTTGTTAATTTTTATTATAAATAGTTATTAATTATTATTAATTAAGTATTTAACTTTAATAAAATCCATTACAAAATGCTTTTAGTAGGTTAATAGATTTTTTATAGCTTAGTACAGAAAAAGAAAACCTTAATCGGTCAATAATTGGTGCATTTACCCTACTAAAATTAAATTATCAAAATCTTTCCTTTACATTTTTTTGAAGTTAAAAAAAAATTCACTAAATTTAAACAAATTAATTTTATTATAATTGTTACAAATATAAGCTAAGTTAATAAAAATAAATAATAAATAATTAAATAGCAGTTCCTCGCTCCAAATTAAGCTTTGTCTCCCTCGTATGCTCTCCGTAAAATCTCTCAAGTTTATTATTAAACTTCGCATTTCTTTCATTGATATAATCTATGTCCGCATCATCATTGTGCGTCCTTCGACGACTGTATTTCTCCCTCTTGGCAATCTGCTTGCCTAAATCCTCCACCATCTTATCTACAGCTTCCTTTTTATCTTCATGAAGCCCATGGAGAATGGTGTTCCGATCACCATAAAAAGCAGGACCCAACTTCTCCTTGGCTTTCTCATAACTCTCCATATTGGGCTTCATGTTTTTTACCAAGCGAGTGTACTGTCTTACTGTAGCTTGCTCAAAATCAGCGAAGCCAACGTCCGGGTTCTTCTTCTTCTTCTTCCTGTCCAGCCTCTCGGCCTCAATAGCGTCGATGCTCAACAGCTTTTGCCGGTCGTAGTCAAGACCCTGCTCCTTGGCTTTTTGTCTCGCTTCCTCGTCCTGGAGAATCCACTCTGCTTGGCGCTTCCTCGCTTCCCAGTTTGCGGGAAGGTTCTTACGCTTGTCTTCTTCTACTACTTCTTTGTGGTTCAGCAGACGGGCTTCATTCTAAATTAATTAAAATAAAAAATTATTAGTTAATAATAAAATTAATTTTTAAATTAAATTTTTGTCAATTTTTTTTTTTCTTAAAAAAAAAATTTATTTATAATTTTATAAAAATTAAATTAATATTAAAAATATTTAATTAAAAAATTCCACGTGTAAATATTTGAGAAAAAAAAAATAATAATAATAATTAGTGGAAATTTAAGTTAAAATTTTTAGAATTTTTTTTTATCAAAAAAATTATTACAGAAAAATAAAAAAAAAAATTGTCACATGTAAAAACCTTCAAAAACTACAAGTGCAATTTTTTAGAAATATTTTTTTTGTTGTAATTTAATTAATAAAAAAAAATCAAAAACTTTTAGAAGTCTGCTAACTTCAGTGTCATAATTTTTTCAACAAATAAATTATGACAAAAACAAATGACAAGTAGAAATTAAAAAAAAAAAAAAAAATGCAATTTTTTAAAAATAATTTTTTTTTGAAATAATCTATTTGTTAAAAATAATTAAAAAATGATTAAGTGACTGCTAACTTAAATGTCATGGAAATTTTTTAAAGCATTTGTTTTAATATAATTAATTTGTTAAAAAAAAATTGTAAGAAATTATTTATTATAAAATTCTAAAAAATTATACAATGTCTCCATTTTAAAAGTCATATTTTATTTATTATTTTTTTTTTTATTATTATTATGGTTAAAATTTTAAAAAATAATAAAATGCCTTTTTGTAAGTTAATTATTTTGGAGACGTGGAACTAATTTCGTTAATTTTTTACAAAAATTTTATTAAAATTGTTAGATGTCAAAAATTTCAATTATTTTTTATTTATACAAGAAATAATGTTAATAAATTTTAAGGTTAGATTACTTACTCTCATTTTGTGGAGACGTCCCAATTTTTTCATTCGATCTTCTAACGAAAGGCGAGTATTATTTTTACTTTCTTCAGTCATTTTTCAAAAACTTTAATTTAAAATTTCTAAATAAATTTATATTTATTTAAAAAAAAAACACGTCAACGTTATCCAGCAGTCAAGCAACAAATAAAATTATTATGTGTGTTCTCTACAAAATAAAATGGATGACTAAAGTGAAAGTAGTACTAACTCCTTATTGGTTTATAATTAGAGTGCGCGCGCATGCAGCGCGCGCTTATGGCGCGCTATTTAAATTTAAAATAAATATAAGAATTAAATACAATTCTAAAGTTAGCCGACGTTTTTAATTTTCTAATTTTTCTTTTAATTTATTAAATTAGAATTAAAAAATATTATTTAAAAATTGCACTTATAGTTTTTTACAAATAAAAATTTATTGAAACCAATTTTTTTCAATGCGTTTTAATACGACATAAGTTATGTTTTTATAAAACGCGCGATGAAAATTAGTTTAGCAGATATTTAAAAATTTTTTTTAACAAATAAATTATGGTAAAAAAAAAAAAAATTAAAAAAAAATGACTTGTAGAAATTTTTAAAAGTTAAAAATGCAATTTTTTAAAAAAAATTTTTTTGTTAAAAAAAATTAAACAGTCAAGACATGCTAACTATAATATTATCGTTATTCTTTAAATATAAAAAAAAATTTTTAATATACCTTATAATGTCATTAAGCGTCCAAATCATTACAACTCATAATTACATTTTTCTACCTGAGTGTCTGGAATGTTTCAATTGTTCAGAATCTTTTTTTTGATCAATCTTTCAGAATGTATTTTAAGTGACCATAAAAAATGAACAATAGATTTTGCTTAACAACTAATTACTTACAGCTTGTCCGACTACTAGACAATAGGATTAAAATAATACATTTTTATTTAACATATTTCTCAGTAATTTTATATATTCCTTTTATACCTTAAAAATTTTATTACTGAAAATTTTTCTGCTTTTAATAATCTGCTTTAAATTGGTAATATAAAATTAATTAGAAATAAATTTATTTATTATTCCTTTTCGATAGTCTAAAAAACAGAAACGACAATACGATTAACAATTATTAAATTTATCTATTGGTTTAAAATTAGAGCGCGCGCAATTTAAATTAGCCTATCGGTTCTGCCCGTCGCTTACCAAAGCATTGGACCGAGTTCGCGCCTGGCGTACACCAATTAATATTTTCAATATTTAAAAATTCCGCCTCAAAAAGTTTACCGCCGTCGTTCATGACCTTAATAGTTTATGCGACATTAAAAAAAAAAAAAAAAAAACACTATTATTAATGATAATTATATTATGAAAAGTGTTTATTAATAATACATAATTTTTCCATTTGTTTTCACTTTACAGAAAAGTCTTGACCTAACATATCTCAAGATAAAAGTTATTCATAGGCGTGATAAAAATGCAATATTGATAAGTCAAGTTAAATGAACTTATAAACAAGTAAGTAATTGTATACATGCAATTACAATTTTTTAATACGCAACTGAATTCCGTTCTTGGGAACCAGAAGAAACCCGCGTCTGTTCAATTCACGGGTCAGATCAGTTTTTTCACAGACTTCAACTTTGTATTCACTGAGCAGCTTGGTCAGCCCGGCCTTGACCTGGGTAGCGCCGAATCTTGCGCCTATGCAATTACGCGGACCATCGCCAAGAGCCAAGAAAGCCTGAGGATGACGAGCTTTGATGTTTTCCTCAGAGAATCGCTCAGGGTCAAACACTTCCGGATTCGGCCACAATCTTTCGTCATACTGAATCGCGTACAGTGGAATCCAGACCAGAGTTTTTGCTGGAACGGTCACGTTTGTTCCAGCAAACGTGTATGGTTCCGTGCAACGACGCGTGAACATCATCAGCGCGGGGTGCTTTCTCAGAGATTCTGAAACGGGTCGTTAAAGATATTCAAAAGCTGAAAAGCTGGATAATAATTATGATTAGCTTGATGATTACCGTGATAAACTTTGTCGAGGTATTCCATTTCCTTGATGGTGTCGTAGGTTATCTTTCCGTTGTGCTTCTCCAAACTTTCGCGGATTTCTTGGCGAAGACGGTCCTGGCAATGCTGGTTAATCGCTAGTTCGTATAAAGTGTGGCTCATTGTTGTTGAAGATGTCTCAAATCCTCCGACGAAGAAAATTAGAAGTTGGGCAGCTAGTAGATTGTCCGTTATCTCTAAACAATAGCAAGTTATTTTGTTAATTAGTCTTAGTAGAAATGAAATCGAGTTTTTGGCCAGTAACTAGTTAAATAGACTTTAACCACAAACTGGCCAGTATAATATATCAAGTATGTATGTATCTATTTAATATGCCAAGGCTATTAGCCGAATGGCAAAGGTTTGTACATAGTTTTATAAATTTTTACTTAAAATTTAATACAAAGTAATAAACTTACGTGTAAGTGTACATCAAAATCTTAGTTAAAGAATAACAAATATAGTTTTATTTTAGATTCAATTTTAATTTGAATTTTAGACTAGAATTCAAATTAGCGCGCGCAAGCGCGTGCCTTGACTATAGAGTTTGCATATATTTTCATGCATATGATATATTCAACCAATCACATCACGAATAGATTGGTTTCACATACATTTCATCTCAATTTTATTATGGGACTAGAATTTAAATTTACGCGCGCAAGCGCGCGTCTTGACTATAGAGTTTGCATATATTTTCATGCTTATGATATATTTGACCAATCACGTTACGAATAGTTTGATGCCACATACATTTCATCTCAATTTTATTATAGGACTAGAATTCAAATTTACGCGCGCAAGCGCGCGTCTGACTATAGAGTTTGCATATATTTTCATGCTTATGATATATTGGACCAATCACGTTACAAATAGTTTGATGCCACATACATTTCATCTCAATTTTATATTAGGATTAAATTAAATTTGATTTAATAAGTAACAATGCAATATTTATTCTAATCCACGAATTTAACAATATAATGGTAGTTGTTTTGACTAGTAAGTTATAATAGTTTTTAATAAGCAACTGGCCAGTTTCACAAGAGATTCAATAAAACATGGCGGCTTTGAAAAAACAATTTTTAATTGAAAACTTTGAGGTTATCAAAATTTTCAGTCAAAAATAAGAAAGGATTCTCACATTAATTAAAAATAGCTGGAATTAAAGCAACGCTTTTCGTGATTTTAATACTTAAATAATATTTATAAATAATTAATATCTATTAATATGTAGTGACGTTTGAAAACAAAATCAAAAATCGTGTTTCTATTCTTGAATAAATTTGTCTTTAAATGTATTTCAAGAATTTTATCCTTGAATTCTGCTTCTATAACCAAGATATCTGTATCTTTAGTCGATAACTATTGTGAAGATATCTTCAGTCGGTACAGAAAATTTTACAACTAATTTGACCTGATAGATAAGTACCTTATACTATAACTTTTAGATAGTTTAGTGCCACAAATTATACACTGATAGAAACACAATCTTGATTCAAAAAATATCTTGTCTTCTAAAATAAATTCTTAGATCAAGAAAATATCTCTTGAGTCAACATAAACTTTCTATCAGTGTAGATAATTTGACGAAAAGTATATATTATATTTTTTTTTTTATCAAACTTGTCCTTCTTAATTTTAGCTTTGTAAATTTTTTCTTCCCGATAAATATCTAAAGACAAAAAGCGCTATTTTTTATTTTATATTTTAGAAATCAACAAAACTGAATATGGAAGAAATGAAAAAAATTTTTAATAAAATTAAAATAACAATTCCATTCATACCAATATCATCAATCTTCCCCTGATTTTTGATTCTGAGCAGCAAGTCAATAAAATCATTCCGTACAATATTATTCTTCTTCCTGTATTCCAGCGTATTCCTCGTGACATCAATCAAGAAATTATGAGTCTTGTCATCGCGCAAAATACACCCGACCAATTGATAAATAGTCGGTAAGAAAGTGCTCAAGAGATTCCTTCCCGCCGTGGTCCACTTAACCTCAAACATGTGCCTCCCAATTTGCCTGAACAAGCTATTTTCGTCCTCCAACGCATTAGCCTTGAGCCCAAAGGCGTAGACACCAATAACATCGGTCGCAAATTTTGCCGTAACTTCTCTCATTTCCACAATTTGATTATCGTAGTTGCTCAAGTACTTGTTCATAGTCTCAGCGCACTCGATGATCAGGTGGAACATGTCCCTCATTTTTCCTGAAGTGAAGATCGGAGAGAGTTTTGTGCGGAGCATCCGCCATCTTTTGGGCTCTAAGTTGAATATATTGATCGAAAGCGGCTCCACGGATTCGTTCATTTCCTGGCCGCGGTCCACAAACTTGCTGAAGTCCTTTATCAACACGTCTCTTATCAAATCCAAGTCCATTATACACGCAATTGGCTCCCTCACGCGGAAAATTCCAACTATCGGCGCGTCCGGGTACTTTTTGTACAATTCCTGCAAGTATGTCGCAGGATTATGTTTGCCCTTCAGAATTTGGGTTATGTTGCCAAGCGGCGGGATCGGCTTTGGCCCCGGTACGTTTCGTGACGACCAAAATGAGTACGCCGATGCGAAATAGTAGTACAGCGCCAGTAAAATTGCGGCTAATCCCAGAATCACTTCTATTGGAATCATTTTTTTTAATAAGGTTACGTCCTTTTAGTCTAATTTTAACTGCAGTTTTGCGGAGATACTATTCACAAGAACACTTGAGAAGAAATGAGTTTTTATCTTTAATTACCCAGTATTAAAGATTCTTGAAGCTTTAATAATCAATGAGTAAGTAATAAAAGATACGGCGGGGAAAAATGGCGGGTCAAATGTTATTTAATGTATGAAAGGGGACTTTAGTGATAATTTTAATTATTTTTAATCATTGTGGTTTTTTATCTTTTAAACAATAAGTTTACTTTTACAATGTATAAATAAGTTGTTGATGTTTATTTTGTATAAAATATATTTGGATTGAAGATATAATAAAGACGGATTTTAAATTTGAATTAATTAAGAAGCAAAATTTGATGAATAATTGATATCGAGAATTTCGATACTAAACTAACTTCACTTTAGTTATCTATTTTACATTATAAAAATAAACCCCAAAATAACCAAATTTGAAGTGCAGAAGATGCTGTTCAATGATTAGTGCCGATTTATTGGGGTAGGATCATCTTGACAATTACAAATTTGATTACCATTAATTAAGATAGTAAAATCTAAAAAATATCTATTGTTAACGATATTACATAAAATTCACTCTGTGTAAGGGATAATAGGCTATTAAATCTATCAATAAATTTATTTCAGATGATTATTATATACTAACTAAATTGTATTCGCATTCACTACTAGGTTTTTAGGCCCAACAGTTGATTAGTTAACTATTTTTTTATAAATTTAGAATTTTAAAAATTTATATCCTCGCGTTTCAGCGTCGGATGAACCCATAAGTAAAGTGATTTCAAGAAATGCTAGGCTTTAAAATTGATAAATTTTTTTCTGATGATTTTTATATACCAATTGAATTATTTTTACATCCTCTAAAAGGTTCTTCAACCAAAAAGTTAATTAGTTTATTAATTTTTTAAAAATTTCATTATTACATGCCCGCGTGTCAAGATTAGGTTAAGAGTAAATTAGATTAGGCTTTGAAATTCCTCGATAAATTTATTTCTAATGATTATCATATGCCAATTTAATTATTTTTGCATCCTCTGCAAGGTTCTAATGCTAAAAAAATTAATTAGTTCGTTATTTTTTTAGAAATTGAGAATTTTTAAAGTTACAGAAAATTAATAATCGTCGGCTAACTTTAGTATCGTCTTTAATTTTAATTTTCTATATTTATTTGAAATTTAAATTGCGCGCCAAATGCGCGCGCTCTTATCCTACACCCATAAAAAATCAGGATTTATTTTTCCGATCAATTTTTACAACTTTTTGACGTCATCAAAGTTGCTCTCTAAAAAACACTGCAAACTTGACATCAAATTGACTCTTACCTCTTGTAGGTAATCTTGTAACCTACCCAACAACTGTCGCCATCTCTGTTTACTTTTTCGAACTACCACCTTACTACCAATTTGCCCCGCCATCTAGCGTTATTCTTCCAAAACTCTTCAAAATCATATCTTAAACCCACGAAAAAACTTAAAAATCATTTTTCTTCTCTCTAATATATTTTTCAAAACTTCCAAATTAATTCTAAATTTTTTTTCATTATTTCCAGTTAGTTAAAACGAAATTAATAATAAATTGCATTAATTATTTTCTATTACAATTTATTTTATTATAATTAACCAGCTTTATGACGCATAATAGAGAAATTATGCGCAAACTCCGTTCCAAATAATAAAAACTAACATTAAATAGGGAGTAAACGCGTGGGATGGTTTAGTATTGATCAATTCGTGGCAGTCCATCGTGTCATGGAGGATCTACTGCAACAAATAATTCGTGAGAGTCAAAATAGTAAATTATCAAATGTGCGGAAGGCTGCGCAAGATGCATACGGTAAATTTCCTTTAATTAATTTTTAACAAACAAATAACTAAATTAATTAATTAATTAACTTCCAAAAGATTTCATGGAAAAACAGCAAGGCCTGTTGCGAGACCCGCCGCACGAATTGCGCGCAAAGTGTCTTGCGGCAATTCAGCTATCATTGGAAACAAAAAGAAGCAAATTGGTGTCTTATGGCTTAACTGGCTTGCATGTAAGTAAAAATCCACCAATTTCTCCATTTCTAACTTAAAAACCTATTATAATAATAATAATAACGGTTGCGGTACGCTAACTTGGCAGCCGGAAGTGTTACACGGAAGTGTTACGCGTGAATCGATAACGGGTTGATTAGCAGTAAACATACGCCGCAATGACGTTTTAATTTCCTTGGAGCTTATTAAGAGTTAAAATTGATTGCTTTTCCAGAAAATTCTTAGGGATGATAGATTCCAGTCGCCCTATGAGCCGGAGGATGACTCACTGTGGCTGCCGGCTCAGATGCTACACGCAATGGGCTCTCTGCTATCGCAGTCTGACGATACGCAGACGGATATGTTAAAAGTAACTACAATTTTTCATCCATTAGCTATTAATTGAATCTAACCCAAACTTACCACCCAATTTGTTGAAGGTCCTCTTGCAAGTGGCCTGCTCAGCCTATTGGACGATGAACGGCCGGCTGATTATCGCAATTCTAACGACATGCTGCGACGCGTTTGAAAATGGGAACCAGGCGGTCAGAACTGCTGCTCAGGCTGCTACAAGCCAAACCTTGAGGAGTTTCTGCTTGTTTTTGGGTAAGGAAGCTTTAAGTAGCTCTAGATAGCTTGATTTTGATTCAGTTTACTGATTATTCATTTCTAGATGAAGAATGCAGAGAAATGGACGAATACGCTAAGCAGAACAAGAATGTCAGGGAAAGAGGTGTCTCTTGCTTCAATGAAGCTCTGCCTATTCTTCAGTACATTTGCAGCAGATTGGATGAAGCTCAAAGGTACTATTTCTATTCATTTGAATTCGTTGAAATCTAATCCGTTGGATTTTGTAGAAAAAAGTTTGCAACAGCCAAAAGCGGGAACACAGTAGTCTTTCTGTTAGAATGCCTGCATACGTTAATCTCATCATTACCCCAGAAAATCCATACCAACCAGCACTTCACAACATTCTTGTGGCAAAAGTTCTGCCCCGCATTGATAGCATTCTTGGGTACCCCACGAGTGGACAAAACTTTTACATCGCGTGAGGGAAAGGACACGGAGGTGGGCAGAGGATCGGGTTACTTAGCAACGACATTGAGTTTCGATAGTCATCAAGCCAAAACAGTTTACAGGTGAGTACCACCACTACCAATAACACCACTAACACATCGCCACCCAAAATACTAACTAACTTTATTTGTTAGCATTGGAACCGAGTTAGTAAGACTGGTAGGATGCGTGGGGCCACTAAGACCAGTATTGGAGTCAGTCTTCCATCGGATGCTTCTGTACCCGCCCCCGCAACAGCGTCTGGAGTCGTTGAAGGCTTTGCGAGAGCTGCTGAGGAGTCCCAGCCGAATGGTTGACTTCGCAGGACCACTTTTGGTGGATGAAGAGAAGACCAGCCAGCCTCAGAGCGACATGGCCTTGATGAGGCTGGTGATGGACTCTATCGAAGAATCCACCACCGCTGGACAACCGGTGCTCTACGCCAGTGTTTCCTGCGTGGTGGCTATGCTGTCTGCCTTGCAGGAACTCTGCGAAGGCAAGGCTGTCAGCCATACCTACACTGGGACCATTAATGCGCTGTACGAAGACCTTGAAGCCAGTGATTACAAAGGTCCCTTGACGTACCTAAGCATGGCAAGGCTACCCAAGACCTATCGGGAGCAGCTGGAGCTGATGAACAAGACCAGTGGGTCAGAAAGTGACTCTTCAGGTCATGGTCCTTCAGAAGACGGAGATTCTACTGACACAGAAGGACCCCAGAATGAATCCGATGAGGTCAATGATGATAATAGCGTCGACGAAATTGATTATGCTCTAGAAAACGAACGTGAGCGACTCCGGCTGGAGAAACTGCCCAAGTGTCTTCATGTTGGGCGCCAATTTGCTGAAGAATGCAACGTGGACGTTGAGCGACACAACGCCAGGCAGTTTGTGAAGATTCTAAGGAGTGATTTGGTTCCAGTTGTTCTGAACCTTAGAAGCAACATTGAGGTCGACGAAGCGCTGCAGAATTTTGCGTCTGAGTACTGCCAAGGTGTCTTTGCCGCGCAGCAGAAGCTTCAGGAGAAGGAAACCAGTGTGGAAACGTGTGCCTTAATTACGATCATGAACGCTGATGGGATCTACTTGGCTACTTACGCAGCTTTGCTGCTGAATCTTAAGTTGATCAGGATGCACTATTACCTTGACAGCTGCGCTGTGCCGATTAGCGAAGAGATGTTCGTGGAAGAAGTCCATGGATCAGGAGTTCTGGTCTACTTATCCGCCACTTGGTTATCGGAGTTGTACCAGCAGATCCTAGCTTGCAATCTGTTGGAAAAATGTGGGTATAATCCAGCTTCTACGGAGAATTGTGCGTTGGTTAATATTTTGGTTGATGTGGACGGAATCAGCGGGAGCCAAAGAGGAGGACAATTGCTGGCGGATTACAGGAGGCTGGAAAAAGCACAATTGTCACGGAGTGAGCCAACCCCAGAAGCGGAAGCAGGAGCTAAATTGTCGAGGAGGATTCTGAGCTGTTGCTGGGGAAGTATGATGACCGTTTTAACGGCGGGTTTGAATCCTGCGAAAGAAGAAACCAATAAAGGGATCTTGAATCGGGATACTACAAGACGGGGGGTAAGAGATACTGTTGTCCTTGCGCTTGAAGGGCTTCACAAGGCAGCGACTCTGAGCAACATTCTCGGACTACAAACACGGTGTGGATCGATATTTGGTTTGTTGGCTAAAGCCGCTTGCACTGAGCCAGCGATATCGAAATTGAGACGGACTAAGGATGTGTTGAGGCTTAAGTTACAGAATAGGGCGACTAATATTCACACGTCGCATGCGTTGAGCATGGAGGTGCTACTGGGGAGGGGACTGGAGCTTGGTAGTCATGGAAGCGACTGTTGGCCGCATGTCTTCACCTGTTGTTTGTATGTCAGCAAGCTGGAGCATGATTTCTTTGGTAGGAACCAGAACCTGGCGCTTCCAAAGCTTGCCAAGAAGGAGAAGAAGGACAGTCCAATTGAAAAGAGCGACAAGAACAGGCCTAGTTTCAATATTGTTGATGAAGAAGAGACATGTGTGGATGTGTACAGCTTCTTGTCGACGCCCTATACCCAGAACCCAACAACGGAGACGATTCCGGAGATAATTCAAGAGTCCAATGCTGATAACCAGTCCAACGGAATCCTCCCGGCTGATTACGCAGCGAAGATTGTCTGCGTTCTGAGCCAGCAGGTTGATAGATTGTTTGAAGATGCAGCGCTGAAGCTCAATCTCAGGGCTTTGTGCTCGTTTCTGACCGCGTTGTGCCAAGCTAGTAAAGATCAGCTGTTCAAGACGACTGATGGCAGCAAGGACGGTAAGAAATTCTGGTGGAAGAAGTCCAAGCCTAGGGAAGAGGAGCTCAATGTCTTGCTGCTGTCCAGATTGGGTGAGGTGATGCTAAAGTGTGTCAAAAGTGGACGCCCGTTGATCCATATCATGAGAATCTGGAGCATCTTGGGTCCCCATTTCATGGAAGCAGCTTGTCATAAAGACAGGGAGATTTCGAAGCGTGCTGTTCAGTGTATTCATGACTCAATGGCGGCGTTGTTGAACGAGCAGATCGAATTGCCGCACTTTCACTTCAATGAGGCGCTTTTTAAGCCCTTTGAAAACCTCCTCTGTCTCGAGCTCTGCGACGGCGATGTCCAGGACCAGATCGTCAGCTGTATTTGCGAATTCGTCGAAACTAATCGCACGGAGATTCGTTCCGGATGGCGGCCTCTTTTCGGAGCACTTCGTGTAGCTTCGGTAGGAAATTCTGAATCTGTAGAATCAGCTCCTCTATTAGAAGTCTTCAGAGTCTTCCTATCAACTGACAATACTCTAGTCTTCGCCAACGCGGCTCTAGATTGCATCCTCTGTCTTTTGAAGCACATCCGTGGAGTAGGTGACCCGGAAATCTCCGACTCAGACCCGATTTCCAATGCAGAAATCCGAAAAATGCGGCTGTGTCTTGAAAGTCTCAAGTGTCTGTTAAACTGCAGTGATATCCTTTCGTCAATGTATCGGATGCCAGCCTGTCCAATTTTCCACTCGGCTGCACGTATCCAAGTGTCAACCATACCCCAATTCGTCGATCCAGTGATACCCAACTTGGAGCTGGCTAAATTCGACAAAAATTCTGAGTCCATGCAAGAGATAGTCCCGGAGATATCCTTCGAGCTGTTCAACCGCATAGACAGGACCCAGACCATCACCTTGCAATCCATGGAGAAGCCCAGTGGAATTTTACGCGTTTGGTACCTGCTCATCGAAGGATTAGCCTCCGCTACAATGATCTGCCCGCGAAGATACCAACCACACACACTCGAGACACTCTTCCACTTGCTCCGTGACATTCTCAACGTTCCCGGGGCTGATTTCGCGCTCTACTGCGTCAACCACTTGCTTCTGCCCATGGTTCAAAACTGGCTTCGGATCACTTCCAAGGTCGTCCGCGGGTGGGACAATTTCGCGCCAAATTTCAAGCAGTGCTGCGGACTGACTACTGATCTGGTTGTCGACTACCTAACTCACCTACAAGGTAAGATATCAACAAATTCCTCTTCCAGCTTGATTCAAAGGATTCTGCCGTGTTTTTCCAGGTCCTGAAGTCACTCGAAGAGACGAGCTGCTACCAGCGACGACACTGATGCTAAAGCAGCTTCTGCTGGTCATGGCTGAGTGTGTCATCCAGCAAACAGAGAGCATAGCAAGACTAGGCTGCGCCTGTATCAGGTAATGAATGATATCAATGACTCTAATCAAGCTTGACATCTTGCAATTCAATAGATCTAATCTAGATCTGGTAACTCGACACTTTCTAATGTGGCTGATTCGTTCTCTAGGCACGTTCTGATCAGCAGTGGACCATTACTAACCGCTGAGCAGTGGGAAGTCTGCGGTATAGCTTGCTATCGCGCTTGCTCCAACTCCCTCCAAGAGCTCCACCAACTAACAATGGCCTTCGCACCCAGATCCGAGTCATTCTACGGTGACCTGGCACAGGTCAAGGTCGCCGCTCGTCGCGACGCAACTCCCGAAGAATCAGAACGACTCAGACAGCTTTCTGCCCAGGTAAGTGCTAGATTGGTGATGAGTCCTTTAGAATTCTTCCAACCGGAATAGATCCGCTGACGCTTTTGTTTACATACAAGTGAAAATAGTGAATCTAATCTGATACAGATACTCTGTTACTGTTATTATTTTGTTTGTCTTTGCTATTTGCTCTCCTCCCTTTACCGAGAATTGTATCGTCAGGTGAGCCAGCTACGCGAGGTTATGACTGCCGTCAAGAGGCAGAACGCGTCTACACTAGCAACAACCAAGTCTTATGAGGACACGATGACCATTGAGACGACACTGATTGACCAGCACACATCTTCCTACCCCGTCGGTTGTAGGCAGCACACCACACCCCCCGATTACACTAACACGTCGAACACGGGGCCCCAATGGCTCTAGCCGTTCACGGTAACTCACGTCATGGATTTTAATTTCAAAACAATCTTTTTTAATCCTTTTATGTTTTGTCTATCAGTCTTTTGTTGTTATTTTTTTTTCTAATTATTATTAACAATAACCAATACTTTACTCCTATAACCAACAAAACACCTGACACCCACTCATTATTCCCGTGTTAGACCGGTGGCTGGATTCCACATCAAATTCTATCCACTCAGATTCTTTCGAACGAAAGAATTTTATTGTACATATGATAGACGAATCTGCCAACGGATGCTTTTTAAGTTAGATCGTATGCACTGCTGATAGAGGCACGTTTTACGGCAGCAGTCTAATAAATACAATAAAACAATACGAGAAGTCCTTCTCGAAGGGCTTCTTAAGCACGGTAACACATTAAAATCCATGGCTTGAGTCCATGGCCACTGTAAGGTCGAAGTCCATACCATTCTGGATTAATGCTTGTAGTACGCACACACAATCACATATTCACAGCCGCCTTTTGGAAACAACCTTTGTTCCAGGCTGGCTACACGCAGAATAGTTTGAATCCTACCCTAAATCCTTGTAAAATTGCATCCACACACTAACAAACCCAAAAAACACCAAATATTAGCCTCTAGACTAATTCCACCTTTGTTTAGGTGTTCCTGATGGCGGAGCAGCGCTCAGAGCCGACTTACACCGACGATAGGTCATACGTATTCCTGCTTTACCCACCGTCGGTAGCGTCGAGCCTCAACCCAGATTTGTACATAGTAAGAGTCCAATTACGAGCCATGGTCGTAGGACTGCTGGTCCATCAAATGCTGCTGCATTGCATCGCCAGTGTCCTGCTCCAAGGATCAATTGGCTCTATTTCAAGGTTTCTACCTCCCAACCCATTAAAGGTTTCTACCACCCAGAACCTTACAACCAATTCTGTTCCAGCTTCTGCAACATGAGCTCAACATCACCAGTGTCACCCAAACCACCTGAAGGCAAGCGCAGACTCACCAGAAACATAGAGACCTTCTTAGCAGCCCTGGACCTTTCATTTGCCGCAGCAGTGAAGTTTGACTCCCGTCCAGGGCTCAAGTTTCTCGTCCAGAAGGTTGCGAATCTAGAACAGCCGGCCAATTTGTACCAACAAGCTGGTGCTGCCTGGACCATCAAGATTCTGACGCTCTTCGAATTGTGTCTTGAAGAAATCAGTGATACCGGAGCTGATCTTGAAGTCATCAAAGCTCTCATCAGCAAGAATCACAATCAGGAGGGTAATACCCAATTGGTTAAGTTGGTTAAGCAATTGAAGAGCACCTTTGATTCCCTTTGCAACAATTATGTTGATGTGGTGCTGAATCGGGATGGCTGGCATTCAGTTGCTGATGGATTTTCCGATAGGAAGATCTTCTTGTTGGTAGCGCAGCCTGATGATTTTCCAGAGATTACCAGTAAAGAGCCTCTGGAGCGTTTTCCGCTGGATAAACTAGAAAAGGAGACAATTTCACAAATGGAAGATCCTTTGGAGCGGAAAGAAGACTATAGGTCTCTAAAGCTGTTTGATTTAGCTAATGATTACTATATGGAGTCAGGTCCAGAGTCTGAAGACGACTCCGATGAATCCAAACCTTCTTCCAGGCCCAGGTCTCCAAAGAAACTGGTCTACAGAGGCTCTAGTGAGTGTGTCTTTTCTGGTGAAGCAGATGAAGCGAATTCCAGTGAATCTAACCGGGAATTTGATCCAGCGAAGCTGGATCATGATGATGACGGTGATGGTAATATTGATTATGGTGATGATGATGATGATGATGGTAAAGAAGAATTGGAGTCTAATACAGACGTTAGCATAGATGGCAGTCAAACTGCTTCAAGATTAGAAGCTTTGGACTCAGATGACCTTGACTTACCTCTAAATTTTAAAGATTTTAACCTAGAACGACGACTAAGGCTCAGCGATGACTGTCTTTCTAAAACTTCAAGAGGATTTGTTAGTTCTGATGAATCTTACAGGTCAAAATCGTTAGTGGAGCTCCACAGGGCTTCCAAATTCTCAGAATTAACCATAACAGACTCATCGGAAGCTAACAATAATAAAATTGGTGAAAATACACCAGAAGTTTTTGATGATAATGTTGATGACCTGCTGCGTGATTATGAAAGAAGTAGAAGAGGCTTCAGGATCAATCCGTTCTTGTGCGAGGACAATGGTAACATTGAGGGCAGGAATATTTCCAAGGATTGCGAAGCTCATAGGCGTGCTTGGGCGGAAACGCTCTCTGCTGCGTTGGAATGGACACTTGCTCTGCCGGTAAGTTAGAGGAATTAATTGCAGTTTTACCGACTGATGGTCATTTTTGGTTAATTGGGTGGTTGGTTGCAGGATGATCAGCTGAAGCCTTTGCTACCGGTGGTAGTAGGCGGGGTTAGGACCCTGACCAAGTTTGCGGTGGACTCTAATCTTAAGATGAAGATCTCGTCGCTGTTCTACAGGATCGTCGTTCTTTACGGCTTGACAAATAATTAGACTTTGATATATTTATTATGCTTAGGTGTAAAAGGTTGTAATGAGGTTATTGGTTATTGGTTATAAGATACATATGTGTGAATTATGGTTATGATTAGGTAATTTTAAATGTTGAAAATACTTATGATGATGATGATGATGATGATGATGGTGATGATATGTAAATGCTATGTGTGTAAGTTGGCTGGAGGATCTTGATAATATTTTTTGATGGCCAATGCTGGCTTTTGAAATTTGTGTATTGTAAATTATATATAAACAAAGAGATTGACAATATTAAATTAAATGGTTTTGAGAAAATGGGAGTTTTCTTTATTATGTACCCTTTTTTTTAATTATTTTGGTAATTTGGACAGTTCAAATTTGTTGAGGATCATTTAAAATCATTTATGACTGATCAAATTAACGTTTCAATAGATTCAAATCATTGAAAATGTTCAAAAATATCCAAAGAAGCTTCAACGATTGTCCAAATTTGTACAAAGTGTTCAAGTTATGATTGTAATTGTCCAAATTCAACTAAGATCATTTTAAACCATCCAAGGTTAAATTTGAATCATTAAATAAGGCAAAAAAGCTTCTGTAATTGTCCAAAAATTTTCTATTCATGATTTTTATCGTTCAAATTCATAAAGCATTGGACCAAATTGTCCATAAGCGTCCGAATTGATATACAACAATCTTGAACTGTCCAAAATCACTCAAAATTACTTAACTGAATCAAAATACCTTCAATAACTGTCCAAATTTATTCAAAAGTATCTAAGTAATCATCATAGTCGTCAAATTTGATCTAAAATCATAAAAAACACTTTTGGAAGTCAATTAATTTTGTCAAAAATGTCTAAATGACCTTGACAATTGTCCAAAAGTGTCAAATTATCAAAAATACTATCTAAAGTCGCCCAAAATTGTCCAAAATAACTTCGATAAGTCAAAATAATTTCAATAATCGTCCAAATTAATCCAAAAATGTTCAAATGACTGATCTGACTTTCCAAAAATGTCAAATTATGAAAAAAAGCGTCTAAATTCATCCAAAATTGTTCATAATTACTTAGAAAAGTCAAAATAATTAGTCCAAAAATCTCCAAATGCCTATTCCAACTTTCCAAAGATATTTTTCATATTCCTCATCACTATCTAGCTATTTTAATTTTGAAATTCATAATGGTCAAAATTTGATTTTTGTATATATGAATGCTTAACTCGTCATATCTCTTGATCAAATAATCGTACCAAAACCGGACTGAATTCATCTTCTTCAGAATTTCGTAAGCTACAAAAGTTATCTGATTAACTTTTTTTTTCAAAGTAAAAAAAATTCCAATAAAGCAATTAAAAAAAAATTCAAAATTTTTGAACTTTGCTTCAAAGTGAATTTCCCGTAAAATAAAGCAAATAAAATAATAATGGGCTGATAAATAATAAATTTATCAACAGATTGAAGCGATCTCATTGAGAATTTGTGATAACCCACTCGTGAGCTTCATTTAATATTAAAAGGTTCACTGCGTGTGTTGAACCGATGGACAGTTGCGGTCACCATGCGCACTACCGAGAGCATATATATAGCAGAAGAGGTTCCTTTATTAGCAATCCACCCTTCGAGCACCCGAATTGTAAAATTCCCTCCAGCTCCTAAACTACAATCGTGTCCAGTGTCCTACCCCAATTTACAGAGAGCCGCTTCCACTTTACAGAGCCTAATCTCAGGCTAAATTCCCCGGATAAATAATAGATCCCGGTTGGCCAAAATCCGGTGATAGAATCTGTTCCAGATTCATAAAGAAAAAAAAGGTTTAAAAAATTCGATAGTTTTCATTTCATTAAAACGCTAGCCGTCGGACAGAATAGTGAAGTTTTTATGACCCAGGATGAAGTGAAGATGGTTTAATAGCTGTCGCTCGTAAGCTCGCCTTCTTTATGGTCCTGGTAGATGGAAACGAGACGGAGACCCAGAAGACAAGTAAAAGACGGCTAAAAGACTCCTGACCGCAAACTTTAACACATTGTCTCTTCAGACAAACCTCGGCCCTAACTCTCTTGACCGACAAAAAATACTTTATATCGGTGCACTAAATTTTGCAGACGTGATATTTTTAAGGTCAGTAAATTCTCAGCTGCATGACAATCATAGCCGTTTGATGCTGTTTTAATAATAAATAATAATACATTTATGTCTTCTAAATGCTTGAGATAAATTTACTTTTGCGAGAAAGGTTTTGATGGATTTTGACGGTTCTAGGTGATTTTAAATGGAGATTTTTGAAATTTTTTTATTTTCAAACAATTGGAATGGGCATTTGGATATTTTTGGACTAATTTGGACAATTATTGAAATTGTTTTTATTTGTATATATAATTTTGGACAGTTTTAGGCAATTTTAGATAGTGTTTTTGGTAATTTGATACTTTTGGACGACTTTCAAGGTCATTTGGACATTTCAAACGACTTTAATTGACTTCCAAAAGTATTTTTAATGATTTTGAACAAAATTTGGTGATTATGGTGCTTACTTAGATACTTTTGAACAAATTTGGACAATTATTGAAGTTATATTGATTCAGCTAAGTAATTTTTAATGATTTTGGACAGTTCTAGATTATTCTATATCAATTTAGACGCTTATAGACAGTTTCATCTAACGCTACATAAATTTGGACGATAAAAATCATGAATAGAGAATTTTTGGACAATTACAAAAGCTTTCTTTGCCTTTTTAATGATTCAAAAATTAGTCCTGGATAGTTTAAAATGATCTTAGTTGAATTTGGACAATTGTAATCATAACTTAAACACTTTTGAATAAATTTGGACAATCATTGAAGCTTCTTGGAATATTTTTGGACATTTTTCAATGAGTTGATTTTATTTAAATATTAATTTGAGCATTCATGGACGATTTTAAATGATTCTCAATTATTTTGAACAAATTTGGACAATTTTTGAAGTTATTTTGATTCAGCTAAGTAATTTTTGATGATTTTGGACAGTTCTAGATTATTGTATATCAATTTGGACGCTTGTGGACAATTTTGTTCAACGTTAAATAAATTTGGACGTTAAAAATCATGAATAGAGAATTTTTGAACAATTACAGAAGCTTTTTGTAATTTTCTCGTTGTAAAAATTTGGGCAATTTTGAACAAGACTAAATTAGGCTTTAATAAAAGTTAAATTAATTAAATTAAATAAATAATAAAAAAAAAAATGATATTTAACTTGATTTTTTATTAACTGGGAAAATATTCCACATATGTACAATTTATCAATAAAAAGAAGATAATTAAAAACTAAAAACATACAATATATCACACACTTATTAAAGCGTTCGTGTCACAATAAACATTGAATTGAGTTCGGACATCAATAAGGACGCCAGACGTCGTTTCTCTGCTCGTTTTCCTCCATTACACCAATTTCGAGCCTGTTGCTGCTGATAGTGAGGTTCCCACTGGCGATCGTCACCTGGTCATCGGAAAGGTCTCCGTGGAGGTGCAGGTGGATTTGATTTTGGTTGACGGTGCTGTAGAGTTGCGGGTACAGGACCATCGGGGTCGGGCTGATGTAATTCTGGCTCGGGTTGTTGTAGTAACCTTGGTGGTAGTTCGGGTTGTAGTTGTGCGAGGGCACTGGCACGGGGGTAGTCGGGCCTGGGGTCCAGGACCCGTAGTGGTAAGCCGGGCTTCCGTTTCCAGGCCCGGAGAATATTTCTGAGTCCTGCTTGGAGGGCACCAGGGTTAGTGAGGAATTACTGTGCGTCGGGTACATTGTTACGCAGTTCGGCGTGTAGGTGTCTTGCTGATCTGGTGACAGCACTGTGAACATAAAAAATTATTTTTAATAATTAAAGACAATTTTTTGCATTCTAAAATTCTCTATCTCTAGATACATAATTAAGAAATGACCTTGTATCTTGAGAACTATTGACATTTTTTAAGATATAAGCTCATCCTGATGTCACACTCATCGAGACCTTTTATTTGAGTACCCACATGGCATTTTTTACATATTTGATATATTTATATATATTATATATATATATATGTATGTATGAAAAATATATCAAAAATGCATGTGGGTACTCAAATGAAAGCTCTTGATGAGTGTAACACCGGGATGAGCTTATATCTTTA